ATCATTGGCTTTTGCATTTTATTTCTACATGTATATTTTCAACTCTTTCAAACAAGCCATTTCAATTACTGTTTTTACATGATTAACTTATATTTAGCCATGTATTTACCCTTCATTTCCTTCTGCATTTCCATGTTCTTTTTTCTTTTTTTTTGAATTGGAGTCTCACTCTGTCAGCCAGGCTGGAGGGCAATGGCACGCTCACAGCCACCACAGCCTCGACCTGCTGGGCTCCAGCAATCCTTCCACCTCAGTCTTCCAAGTAGCTGGAACTACAGGTGCATGCTACCACACCTGGCTAATTTTTGATTTATTGTAGAGACAAGGTCTCACCAAGTTGCCCAGGTGGATCTTGAACCCACGGGCTCAGGCAATCCTCTCGCCTCAGCCTCCCAAAGTGCTGGGATTACAGGCTGAGCCACCGAGCCTGGCCTCATGTTTTCATCTATGATCATTTTCCTCTAAAGACCTCTCATTAGTATTTATTTTACTTTAGTTCTGTTGCCCAGGTTGGACTACAGTTGTGATTATAGCTCATTACAGCCTCGAACTCCTGGGCAAAAGTGGTCTTCCTACCTCAGCTTCCCAAGTATCTAGGGCTACAAGTGCATGTAACTACAGTTGGCTAATTTATTATTATTATTATTATTATTTTGTAGAGACAGGGTCTTGCTATGTGGCCTAGGCTGGTCTTGAATTTCTGGTCTCAAGCAATCCTCCTGCTAAGACCTCCCATAGTGCTGGGAATACAAGCACAAGCCACCATACTCAACAGTATTTATTTTAATGCAGGCTGATAAATTTACTAGTAGTGACAAGGTTATTCAGATTTTTCTTTCTGTCTCTATTTCACTTTCATTTTGAAGGATATTTTCAACTATCCACAGATATTTAGCTTGGCAGCATTTTGAAACTGACATTCCATTATCTTCTGGTTTCTATTATTGCTATTGAGATGTCAGTTGTCAGTTTTACTGATGCTCTTTTGAAGGTAATGCATAATTTTTATGCGTCTGGGTTTTAAATGTTCAGCAGTTTTGCTACTATATGCTATGGGTGTGGTTTTCTGTGTATTTATCTCTGCTTGGTGTTTGCCAAAATTCTGAATCTGTATGTTGTCTTTCATTATTTTGGAATGTGCTCAGCCTTTGTTACTTTGAAAGTTACTTTAATTCTGTTCTCTCACTACTCTGTTTCTGAGACTTTAATTATGCATATGATAGATCTTCTTTTGAGTTCTTTTTGTGGGTGTGTTTTCTTCTCTTGTCTCTGGGGTTCAGTCTGGATATTTTCTACAAATTCTATATCTGGTTATATCTGGTCTAATGTTAAACCTACCCAACTAGTTCTTCACTTCAGATACTATATTTTTAAGTCTTAGGAAGCCCATTTAAATCTCTGTATAAATTTCAATTTTCTGGTAAAATTGTCTATCTTTTCATAAATTTAGTCTATTTTCTCTCTATTTTCTTGAAACTATTGGCCATTATTATTGTATAGTCTTTTTTTTTTTTTTTGGAAACCAGGAACTTCAGTATGTTGCCCAGACTAAAACCAGTGGCTAGTTCACAGGAATAATCGTAGCACACCACAGTTTCAAATTCCTGGGCTCAAACAATCCTCCTGCCTCAGTCTCCCAAGTAGCTGGGACTATAGGTGTGCAGTACCATGCCTGGCTTATTTTTCTTTATACATCTGATTACCAGTCATATGGTCTCATCTCTTTGCAAGCCTCATGATATTCTATCATATGATAGACATTGTGTCTGTAATTTTCAGAGTATATTCTATTTCACCAGAGGAGATTTCTCTTTTTCCAGTGTCAGGCAAACATGTTCAGTGGTGGATCGTGTAAACCCCTTCATAGCACATGGCTTACCTAGGCTTTTAATTGAGAACCTATAAGTCCTTGACTCCTCAGCTCTGGCTGGAATGGTTCTCCCCTCTTTAGAATTTTAGTTTCTTTGGTCTTTATTGCTCCCATAAATCTCTGATGTACCCCAAATTATAGTTTTTATAACTTATATAGGTTTTTCTTTTTAAAAACTTATTATAGAGATGTGGGGTACAAGTGAGGATTAGCTACATAAGTAGGCTGCATGCAGATGAGATTTGGGCCTCTTATGTAGGTTTTTATGGTTGCAGCTGTGAGAACATTGTACTGCCACAAAACTACATCCTACCCAGAAATGGAAGATCTTCAAAAAGAAGAAAATGAGTGTTCATGGGCTCACAGACTAGTTCTAAATATGCTCTTTCTGTCACCAGTAACTGCAGTTACTATTTACCATAACTACCAATAGTATTCAGATCATAACTCTTCAGGTTACTTTGGTAGGGGTTACAGCTCATACATTCCCCAGTGCCTATTAACTGCTCCCTTTATTGGGCCAAAACAGTAGAAATAGAACCAAGTGAATGAGAAAGAGCTGCATGGTAGACTGCCTGTGCCCCAAACATTAACAATATTTAGTGTCTGTTTTGTAGATTTAACTACAGAACCATGTAAATAATTTAGATTATAAAACAATTTTTAAAAGCTGTTCCTAAATATATAAAATAAAATGAAACAAATGAATGCATATGTGTATCCAGCTGATAACATGTACATACAGAGACTCTCTTCCAAGTGATTTTAAAAGACATTAAATTGTCTATACATGTTTAGTGAGATCCAGTCTAAAGACAAAAATACCTGTGAAATAATTATTAAATTTTAATAATCATTTTTTTTTTTTGAGTTGGAGTCTCACTCTGTCGCCCAGACTGGAGTACAGTGGCCGTTCCCGGCCACCGCAGCCTCGACCTGCTGGGCTCCGGCAATCCTTCCGCCTCAGCCTTCCAAGGAGCTGGAACTACAGGCGTGTGTTACCACACCCGGCTAGTTTTTGATTTATTGTAGAGATGAGGTCTCACTGCCCAGGCAGGTCTTGAACCCACGGGCTCAGGCAATCCACTCACCTCAGCCTCCCAAAGGCGTGAGATTACAGGCTGAGCCACCAAGCCCAGCTCAAACTATCACTCTTAATATGATTATTAAAAGTCGGGCTTGGTGACTCAGCCTGTAATCCTGCGCCTTTGGGAGGCTGAGGTGAGTGGATTGCCTGAGCCCACGGGTTCGAGACCTGCCTGAGCAGTGAGACCTCATCTCTACAATAAATCAAAAACTAGCCGGGTGTGGTAACACACGCCTGTAGTTCCAGCTCCTTGGAAGGCTGAGGCGGAAGGATCGCCGGATCCCAGCAGGTCGAGGCTGCGGTGGCCGGAAGCGTCCACTGCACTCCAGTCTGGGCGACAGAGTGAGACTCCAACTCAAAAAAAAAAAAAAAAAAAAAAAAAAAGAGTGATAGTTTGGTGGTGTTATTTTCAGATTGTGTATTGTGTGTACAATGCATATAAATGATAGAAAATTAGTGACATTCTATCATTTTTGGAGCCATTAAGAACCAAATTTCTCAGCATGATAGAAAGCAGATTTAGAAAACTGAATTTAAGGATAAATTCTATAGCCCTGAATTTGATTTGGACATTTAGGTATGAATTCATGATGTATTCTAACTTTTCAAACAAACAAAAAAAACCCCACATAATTCCTAACTCTGTGTATATGAAAAAAAATCCAAGAGATTATGATCACTCAATGGCAACAAGCTCCTCTAGGACAGACTGTGATCTCAGAAAACTACTATTAAAAAAAAAAAAGCTTCTTGGAGAAAAGGCTTATTATGGGTCTGAAAGCTAGAAATATACAAGATAAGCCTAGAACAGCATATCACTCTGCACAGCTAGGAAACTGTCAAACCTACTAGAAACAAGTCAAAAGGACTCAAGACCTAATCTGGTATGGAGTATTAAGATGAAATATCTACAACATTTATGAGACACTTTGAACACTGATTTGATATAATATTAAATAATTTTTTATATATAAAAGTAATGTGGTTGTGGGCTTTTTTTTTTCCTTTTTATTTATTTACTTATTTTTTCTTTTAATTTTTTATTTTAAAGATGTGGGGTACAATTTAGGGTTAAGTATACAAATGTTCATTATGCAGGTACCCTTGTGGATGAGGTGTACCCCCCTTCCCCAGGCAGATTCCTACGAATGCCAACCCTGCTTCTCCATGCCCCTCCCAGCAGTTTGTTGTGGTTTTTTTTTTTTAAATACTTATACCATTTACAAATATATAATGAAATATTGACATAAGAAATAATATGATACCTGAGATTTGTCTCAAAATATGGAAGAGGCAAACTGAAGAGAGGTAGAAATGAAACAGTATTAGCCATGACTTTATCACTGTTTAAGGTCGGTAATGAATACATGAAGGTTCACTATATACTTCTATTTTGTGCATGCTTGAAAACTCTCATAATAAAATAAAATACTTCATTTTCACTCTGGTTTGTCTACATCACTTGCTCTCCTCCTGACAATGGTCATAACAAAGGAGTGAGTATAGAAAAGGATCAATGTATATCAAAAGATAATAATTTGTGCCCCAAATATCACTCCAATCTGACAAAAATTTTTGTTTTGAGTTGGAATCTCACTCCATTGCCCAGGCTGGAGTGCATTGGCATACGCACAGTCACCCCAGCATCAACCTGCTAGGCTCCAGCAATCCTTCCACCTCAGCCTACCAAGTAGCTGGAATTATAGGTACATGCTACCATGCCAGTTAATTTTTAAAATGTATTTATTGTAGAGATGAGGTCTTGCCAAGTTGCCTGGACTGGTCTCGAAGCTGTAAGCTCAGGCAATACACTCGCTTCATCCTCCCAAAGTGCTGGGATTATAGGCTGAGCAACTGAGCCCAGCCAACAAATATTAACATTGAGAGAAACTCTACTATATACCATTAATGCAATTATTATGGAGCCTAAGTTTCTAATACCAGAGTATCCACAATCCAAGTGAAGCAGTACTATAACAATGATACTCTTCCCTAGTCATATCTTTGTTTTAATGTAAAATAGGGATTAATAGAGCTATTTACCTTTATTGGGTCCTGCTACAATAGACCTATCTGAATGTTTAGAATGGGAAATCTCAGTTTCTGATTTTCTCCGCATAATTATTTGATTCCCAAACGTCTTGGGTCCCAAGTAAAAGACCGTAAATTTCTGCTGAATATCAAGTCCAACTGGAAAAAGAAAAAAGTATACAAATGCTTAAGTCATTGAAGTCCACATACAAGACCATTAATTTCTTCTTACCTCTCTTACATTTTTGTAACTTCTAGTGCTAAAAAGTCCAGAAAAATAAAATATTTCTTAAAAACCAAAAAACATGACAATAAAAAATTGCATATCTGTCATCATGAAAATAAAAATAAATCTTCCTACAATAATTGAAATTTATCTTGGAAAATAAATATCTATAAATGAACAGATAAAATTTTAATTATGTCATCTTTGTCCATACTCTTGTACATATCTAAATACGTGAAGCTTCCTTTAAAGTTTATTCATATTACCTACATATATTATTTTTACACATCTTTTTTTCAGTTTTTTGTACCAGCATAAAGTAATTTTTAAATGCTATCATATTCCTTAAATTTATGTCCTCATTACTTCAATTAACTTACCAAATTCAGAACTAATTAGATTTATGCTAATATCTTCAGATGTAAGAGCTCTTTTCACATCAATTTTTTTAGCCCAATTTCCAGCTTTTACTAAAACAGAATCCCTGAAAAACAGTAATGTATTATTTAAATAGTGATCTAAACACTGAATGAAATATATTGATCTTCAGGGTTCATTGTTCCTAAGACAGATTCTCTTTAACAGTAAACTGAAATCAGTTAATGTAAAGTACTTTCCCCAAGTTCTAAGGAGGAAGAAAGAAATGTCAATGGAGCTATCTTGACCGTACTTTTCTTAACTACAGATGATTCCAAGATGCATTTACTCATTTCAGGCCCACCTGAAATATGCAGTTGCTATCAGTAACACATGTCCTTACCCCTAAATCTACCACTTTAAACTGGCTACACAAAAGTTACATGTATTTGTGAGAACAATTTAATAGTATCTTTTAAATTGATATTAAATAGTTTGTATCTAATAACATCACAAAAAAACATCAACTAATTTTATGACTGAACTTATTTTAGTCTCAGTCAGAGCTATGAAGAGATTCAGTAGTTGTAGAGAACGAATATTTGTATAATAGCATATTTTCTATAAGCATGTCAGGGTTAGTTGCAGGAGAGTAGTTGCCAATGAAAGGGATATCCTACTGGTCACTGAAGTCCTTTTCAGGAACCTTGCATGAAACTTTTTGGGAAAGTATCCTCCTGTTTCAGAGTCACTACTAAGCCTGAACAAATGTACAGTAATATGGTTAGGAGCATAGGCACTGAAGTTGGAATGCTTGGGTTCAAATCTAGACTTTGCTACTAATTAGCTATATGATCATGATTGAGGTTTGAGCAATCATTAATAAAACTGATTAAACTTTCAATTTCCTCCTCTACAAAATGTGGATGATGACAGTAACTACCTCATACAAATAAACAATTCAATACTTGTAACCTAATAAGTACTAAAAAAAATTAGCTATAGCTATAAATGATATCCTTACAGTTTGCTTATGACTCTTGGGAGAAAATAATAGTATTTGGAAAAATGCAGAAGTAAAAATTTTAGAATGGCATGCTAGAGAACTAGGTATAAGGGAGGGCACCTCCTTCTATACTTGATCCGGTTGCTTGGATCTGACAGTGGAGCGATAGTAGTTTGCTAGATTTTAATTTGGAAATAGCAGATATATTTTGAGGAGCAAGAGAAAGACTGCATGCAAACAGTAGTAGCAAGACCATGAAAGATGGAAAAAGCAATAAAATAAGAAAGAGCTCCTAAAGATCAGTTATTCACTTGTTTCAGACATGGTAATAGATTTTATACATTGTTCATTTGAGTACTAAATACAGCAATTTAAAACAGCAAACCCAATGTTAATGCCTTCTTTCATGGACAAATAGAGAAATTGCCCATTATTTTATCAGAAAAATGAAATTTAACTGATCCCGCAATGATCTTGTTATTTTTGTTTTCAATGTAATTTTTCTTTTACATATATGCTTGGAAATAAAATCAAACATCAGAAATTTTACACTTACATAATTTTGTGCTTAAAATAAACTACTTGATTATCTGCATCACCTATGATTAAGGTAACATAGTGAGAATCCGGTGCTGTTCTTTTAGTTTGTAGCTGTTCAAAGTTTCTTAATATAATGGTCACTAATATTTCCGCCGTGGTAACACTATATCTTGTAATCTTTCAAAACGAAAAACAAGCATACAAAGTGTTAAAAAAACAAAACAAAAACAAAAACAACCTTACTACTCATACTTGGCCCAAGCCAAGTTATAGGTAACTTTATTCTTGAAAAGACAATTGAAATACCTAAGGAACAGAAAATATTTACCTGTTCCACTTCAAGTTCATATTTTGGTAGATATATCACAGTTTCTTTTATCTGGGTTCCGAAAGGGGGGTGTCTATTTAAAATCTAAAAACATTTATATCATTATATTCTCGCAACAATACTAAAATTCTTTTAGTGAAATATTTCATAGAAACAATAGTTTTAATAATGTTTATTACCCAAAATGTTGGTAAGCCCCAAAAATACTTGTGGACTATGAGAAGGGAAATATATATATATTTCGAGTTGGAGTCTCACTCTGTTACCCAGGCTGGAGTGCAGTGGCACACTCACAGCCACTACAGCCTCAACCTGCTAGGCTCAGGTGATCCTTCCACCTCAGCCTTCCAAGTAGCTTGAACTACAGACATGTGCCACCACACCTGGCTAATCTTTTTATTCATTGTATAGACAAAATCTTGCCAAGTTGCTCAAGCTGGTCTCAAACCCCTGGGCTTAGGCAGGGGTTTGCCTTGGCCTTCCAAAGTGCCTTGGCTTTCCAAAGTACTGGGATTATAGGCGTGAGCCACCACACCCGGCCGAAAAAGAATATTTAACAGAAATAAAGATATAAAAGTTAGGCTTAGACCCTAGAAAAAATTCAGAAACTAAGAATAGGTGAATACTAAATACCAGTTCAAGTTCCCTTGCATCTGTTTCTTCTATTTTTTTAAAGGACGTCAAACCAGCATTTACCATTGCATTTGATAATGTTATACCTGTGAAAAATTAATCAAACAGCAGTTTAAAAATAATCCACTTTAAATGAAGTTTGTACTTAAGAATGTTAACAACTAAATTAGTAGAAAAAAATGTTTTAAATGTCTAGTCAGATAACTAACTTTTAAAGTTTTTTTAAAAAAAAGTTTTCAGTGGAATTATTTGGATTGTGATATTATTCATTTATTCATTTTTATTGTTTCAAACTGAAGATAAAATATGCATTTGCTTTATAAAAGAAAGAGAAACTCTTTGGTCAATGACTTACTCTTTAGTTTTGCTACATGCCATCCATAGGACAAGTACCAAGAAACATTTATTTTTATACTCATGTTTGAAAATAAGGCAACATGATTTAATGAACATGCTTGAATAAAGCAAAGGAATATTACTTCATGAATCTACAGCTCTGAGTACTTCTGTCTCAGAAATATAGTTCTCCCTGTTTCTGTACCTAGATCAGATAATTTTACTCTTCCACCTAAAACTTCCAATGCTTTTCCATTGTATTTAGAGGGAAGTGGTCATTTCCCTACTGTGATCAAATTCCCTCGTCTATATGCCTTGACCACAGCCTATCTCTCATCTAATTTCCTACTGCTCCCTCTTGTTAACTATTCTCCAGTCACACTGGCATTTATTTTGCCCCTTAAATATGTCAAAGTTCATTTTCATCTTTGGACCTATTCTGTTTCCTTATACTTTCTTTCAGAAGCTGGAATTTAAAATTCTTACATGCTTCTGAATGAATTTATCCAAATCCCAAAATAAAAGATATTCTTCTCTTACTCATTCTTAAGACACAGCTTCTAGTATTTATAATCCCTTAATATTCATTTCCATTTCTCCTCAAAACTTTTCCTTCTAACTTTTTAGTTTATAGTCACAATTAAAAATCAATTTGTATACATTATTTTTTCATGATGCTCAATGAGAACTTTTACTTTTTGCTTAGATTCTCTCACTTTCTGTTATATAATTTCTTTTTCTGGGCAATATTTGCTTCTTTCTGTTCAGTTGTACTGATTATGTGTGAAAACAGGTTGTGTTCTACAATCTGGAAGGGACAGAATGCAGTGGATGCTCAGACTGACAATATTCTACAAAGCAAGAAAGACTGGCTGTTTCAATTATAATGAAGTTTATTAGCAATCATTTAAACTAATTTCAAAACTTTCTATAAGTCACTTTTTTTTTTTTGAGTCAGAGTCTCACTCTGTCACCTAGGCTAGAGTGCACCCGCACAATCACAGCTTACCGCACCCTTGACCTCCTAGGCTCAGGCAATTCTTCTGCCTCAGCCTCCAGAGTAGCTGGGACAACAAGCACATGCCACCACATCCAGCTAATTTTTCTTTTTCTTTTTTTGTAGAGATGAGGTCTCACTACGTTGCCTAGGCTGGTCTGAAATTCCCGGGCTCAAGTAATCTTTTCACCTTGGCCTCCCAAAGTGCTGGGACTACAGGTATGAGCCACAGCACTCTGATCCAAGTTGCTATTTTCTAAATGTACAGAACTGTGTTCCTGATTCACAACTCTTGACTTTGTGGCATTTGGTTGCCAGGATTTCTGTAAGAAGGTGAACCTTTCCATCAGGAATCTCTCTATTTCGATCTTACTTTCACCACCCAATCTCCGCCTTCACCCTGCCTCTCAGAACTTCCTAGTCAGCTCTCTGCCATCCCACTGATTTAAAATTTTATGGAAATAAAAAGTAGGACTTCCTCATAAAAACAGTTGGTGACCTTTTTTCAAATAAATAACAAGATAACCCTAAAGACCCATTATTTAATTTTTTAATGTCCCCAAGATGCATGCAAAATTATAAAACTAACGAGGCTGTCAGTAATGGGATAAACAATTCTCTTTCTAGAATTCTAGCTATCTAAGAAGGAGCAGAGTCACAAAGTCAAAAGTACCAAACCGGAAAATACTTTGTAAATGGCACTCCCTAAGTTTTTCAGAGCATACCCTACATACGGTTCATATAAACAAAATAATCAGGCAGAATAATTTTTTGTCCACAAAGGTCCTATAAAAATCAGTTTTTAATATCTTACTATTATTGAAAACAAAAAAGATATAAATAAGTGGCATAATTTTCTGTAATGAATTAGGAATGGCCAGGACTGCTAGCTGTCATTGAGATCAAAACAAAATATTAGTCATAGCAGTGAGAGAGAACACCACACAGTCACTTAATTATCAAAACAAAATTTTACTCTTTGTATGAAAAAAATTTTTTTTCATTCACTTTCTTCTTCCATTCTAGGAGAGAAAAATTTTTTTAAATGAGAGCATTAATTTTTATTAGGTTTCTTATGTACCATTCAGTTGACTTCAATAGAATCCTTTAAGCAGGAGCAAATGAAATCAGATTATCGAAAGTAAGATTATCAGTATCTTATTTAGGCCTACAAACTGCCTGTCTGTATCCAGTACCTACCAATTTTTTCCAGCTGTTTGGATACATGCAGAGAGTTTTCCCAAAGTTTACACTTAAAACATTTAGCTAAAATCAAACTATTCAATAGTATAGCAAAATTCTTTTCTTCGGCAGCCACAAACTCTGACAACCCTAAAAAAAAAGAAGTTTCCAATATTAAATCTAGTATATTAGTTTACTGAAAAAAATATTAAAAACCTACTAATGCTTTAACATACATCTTGTAATCCGTGAGCCATTTCTGAAAATTTTTGCAGTATCTTGTGTCAAAGCAAAATCTTGTATGGGAATGCATCCTAGCTGAGCCTGAATAAGACTGGGGAAAAGAAGAAATCTCATTATTTCCTCTTAAAAGTTAACTATCGCACAGTATTTGACATCACTGATTGGGAGTATTCCTTAGATTTTTCTCTGCCTTAATTTCCATGACACCACATAATTCTATGAGTTATCTTGCATAATTATTGTACCAAGTCAACAGCCAAAGTTCAGTTCTTTTTTAAAAAAAAATTTTTTTTAAAGATGTGGGGTACAATTCAAGGTTAGGTATACAAATGTTCATTATACAGGTACCCTTGTTAATGAAGTGTGCCAGTCCTTTTTTTCCAACCCCTATAAGTTCAGTCTTTTTTTTTTTTAACTTTTCTTTATGCATTCAGTATTTCTTTCAAAAATCTCATTTATTCTCAAAACTTTAATTATAATCTCTAGGCTGATAAATTCCAAATGCTTACAGGACACTCTCGCTTAGACAATTATTTGAATCTCAACAAACCTAAAATTGTTGTCATATTCTCCTCTAATACAGTTCTGTCTGTTGTGTCTACTGTTGCTTTTCAAGGTATTATTTTTAAAAAACAGTACAATTTGCTTAACCAACATTTTTTTATTAAGTGCTTATTGAGTGCCACATTGTTAGGTACTGAGGATTCTGTTTAACATACGACAGTTGGTAACATATTACTTGGTTATTCAAAACCAGCAGCTGCTTGGCTTCGAAATTTAGGGGGATAGTTGTAAGAGGAAAGATGCTAGTATCTATTGTGCCTACTATATTTCAGGTTCTTTGCTACCTGTTTCATCTGTAAAGTTACCTAATCAAACATTGATATGCAAAACACCCATGGTTCTAACTAAAATTATTATACATGTTATTACTTTCTTGGTCTCTTGATAAGACCAAAAGAGTCATATGTACAAAGAGAAGGGGTAGAATAGTTTTATTTCATTGTTTAGTTTAGCAGAAGATGGGTGAAATAGAAGTAATCAATTCACTTCTCAGAATGGATGCATGCAGCTGAAACTTCTTTTGACTATTCTTTTGAGAATACTTCTGAAAATTATTTTGTATCATCTATTAGAAATACTTCTGAAAATTATTTTGTATCATCTATTAGAAAATGGTTATAAAGTTACAGTTTATTAACAAAGAAGCAACGATGGAAAATGATGGGATGCCTTTAATGCTGGATAAATAAAATTCCTTGTGAAGGATTTAGAACTGCACAAATGTGGGGTATAAAAATAAGACTTTTGAAGTAATATTTTTTATATTAAACAGCATCTGAATTTTATGTTAGGAAATAGGACGCTTTTCAACATCATACTTCCCTGTCAGAAACCTTATTGTAAGAAGTAGTAACAAAACAGGGATGGAAGAAGAACAGGGATTTATTCCAGTAGATATAGAACTCCTGTATTTAAAGATACAGACAGCACGGCTGTCTGTTTCTCTCCACCAGATAAGGTAATCTGTGATGTACTATGACCTGACTTTCTTGAGTTTGTCCTCAGTAGAAATTAGTTTATATAGCTTCAGGTGAGGTTACACGATAGAGTTAGAGTTACATGATAGTTAAGTTATGACTAAATCAGGTTATTTTAAGAATTAAGTGAGATAAGGTATTGATTCAGTTAGGATTAGATTCAACCATGACCAGACCATATTGGTTTAAACACAAAAAGTTTATTCTTTTGTGTTAAAGAATACATAGTTAGGTGGTCCAGGGCTTGGTATGGTGACTCCTTATCATATCCCTTGAGTTCATTGAATAATACCAGTTAAAAAAAACAGAGCTCATGCTGAAGAGGGAAGACCTAGGAATTAAAGCTATGAATATTTTTTTAAAGTCTTAAATTAAAAGGGCAGAAAATTGAAAGATAAAATTTTATAACTAAGAGGATTATCATTTACTTGGAGAACAGACCTGAAATGCAGCAAAGTAACAAGGATATAAGAAAGCCATAAAAGAGATAACTGTCAAGTATCATCACCTACCAAAAGACTGTATATTATGAATTAAGAACCTCCCCCACCCCCCTACACAGTCTTGTCTTCTTGCCTATGTTCAAATGAGTTGCACAAAGATGGGAAATGATCATGGGGATCTATGCATAAAAACATTTATAAAGTCATTAACTTTAAAATCTGACAGCCCCAACTGAAAGAATGTATTACACATTTTAAGACAAAATTAATGAAAGCACTGAAGTTACAAATAAAGTGCTCCCAAGAAAATGAGTATGGAAAAATACCTTTAGTTTAATTCAATAATTGATGCAATGGAAAATGTTGGAAAAAACATTGAGAAAATCAAGAGTTCTAGGCTCTAGTTCTAGCCCAGTGTCCCATACAGCAACATAACCTTGGCCAAATAACAACTCACCTGAGCATCACTTACTTCATTATAAAATGAGAGGACTGGGCTATAGGATCTCTACAGATATTTGAATTGCTAGAGAAATACAGGTAAGAAACTAAACATTAACTTGTCTGGTACAAGCTACAGATGTGCCTGATGACATGTAAACAACAGTGAGAAGATTCTTTTGTAGACTTCAAGGTTTTTGGGAGATAAAATTCAGCAAGATGCCAGAAAGTATCCCAAAGAAAGAATAATCTCCTCTAGCTAAGGAAGAAAAAGAAATGCTTTGGCTAACTCGTTTTATTGAGCTACATTTAAAAAATCATTTCACCTTAAATTACATCACTTAAATCAAAAGGTTCTAACCCTAAGACCTAAGTACTCAAAAAACCAAGCACTTAGCATAGCAGAAAAGAACATCATAGCATTTGTGATTGCAAACGGGTAAAAGACATTACTAGTTACAGTGTAACCTTAGTTTACTCTTTGAATTAAGACTCTTCTATACAGACTTCCCATTCATGGCAGAATAGTCACCCACTGTCATGTGTGTACTTCTTTACTCGTCCTTTTGCTTCTACTATTTCTCTCTCCCAGAATGCCACTGCCATTCAATAGATATTTAGTATATACGTTTTCATACTGCGCATTATTTTTATATGTATGGTTCTCATTCAAGCTAACTTGAAATCTCCTGATGACAAGAAGTTTAAGAAGCATGTCTTCTTTTTTTGCCTCAACAGAACATACTTTCAATAAATATTTGTTGAATTAAAAATATTCACAAATCATCAACCTTAAAGTCTGAGAATTCTAGGAAATTAATTTCATATCTACATTCTGACTCATTTGTATGTAAATTTTTTTTGTATTATGAAAAAAGTTTAAACTATGTTTTAAAACTAAAAAACTTACATAAATATGAATCATGAACCAGTAGTCAATACTTTAAGATATTTAAAAATAATTTGTCTTTACCAATTTACTTTCATTTCTCTTGTCTTAATTCTTCCTCCCATTGGAAATCTGTAAATAAAAACACATGGCAAAATTTTTATTATTACTTTAATTAAACAGAATATCTTAAAATTGTTTGAAACATATGTAATTTTTGTACCTGATGGTTACCCGATTTGGATCTTTGTTCAGAGTATTCAGTGTTTTCTTTTCGTTTATTCTTAACTGTATATCTAGAAATTCCTTGCAGTTGGCTATCATTGTGACCTATAAAAATTTCAGCATTTGTCCATTTAATGAAGTCCACTTTTTATTTTTCTCTCATTCTTGATCTCCAAATTTATTTATTTTTCATGCTGCCTTGAACCACCACAGTTTTATCAATTAAAATAACAGAGTTAAAAATCTGCTTTATACATTTTGCTTTTTAAAGAATTCATTCTTTACTAACAAACGCTTACAAACACCTGTTATATGCCAGACATTGTTAGACATTGAGATTAAACCAATAAGGCTGTAAAGATTAACAAGCTAGAATTTAAAATATTCAGCCCAGTACCTACCACATAGTAATAAGCACTCAGTAAAGTAAACGTTGTTCTTGTTACTACTACTGCTACTACTACTACTACTACTACTACTTTTATTCACCCTTCTATAGTTTGAAAATCATCATCCTAACTAAGGCTAATTTCATGATAGGAAGAATGTTTTAGATATTAAGAAAACTGGATTCTAGAACCTAGTTCGGTCAGATGACTAGGCAAAACACTTTATGTGTTTTGGCTTCCCAAGTCTGTAGAATGGAACTAACACATTTTAATTCCCTTACAAACTGGCTAAACTCAAGATCAGATAAGTTAATGTTAATTTTGGGTATTTTCTACTCTTGATTTCTTCTTAGTTAAGAATATTTACATAAAAATACAAACCTTCTTTTCATCAGTTTTTGTTCATACGACTACTCAATTATAACTGGAATGCTATTGTGCAATTTTTAGTATAATAATCTTATCACAGTTATCAACTTATATATTTTAAATAAAAAGGTTTAAATTTGAGAATAAATATTTTCTTGTATAAATGTTTTGTTCTGTACTCATGTCTCCAGCAAAGGGAGAAAGGATCGATGGAGTTACCAGGTACCAACAATATACCTATGGTTCTTTTCACGCTGCAGCTGCAAAATTGCCCTCATTGTTGATACTTTAGCATGACCTTTTAATATTCCCATTTTTCTACAATCAGTTACTTTTTCTGGGCCATTATCAATACTATTCTATTTCTACTATTACCATTCTGAAGCAAAAGATCTGGGGAGAAGTTGCAAGTACATGGCACACACATAGCAATTCATTGTCCTTCATCAATGGTAGACTTTCCTAATATATCATTCCACATCATCTTGGAATTTTACTCACACTGTACTCGGTAGTCACTACCAAGGTAATCACACCTCCTTTAGGTATGTATGTACATTTTCTTAGCTCTGATAAAATACGTAACTGAAAATACAATATCGCATAGCTCATGATCAGAAATACACTACTATAGACATAAGTGTTGGGAGCCGGCCGTGGAGGCCCGACTGGGCGTTAGGGATCCAGGTGGGCTGCAGACCCTGAGACCACCAGGTTTAGTTCAGGAGCTGAAGGCCCATTCCCTCCTCCTTTCTTTGTTGTTTAGTATTACCCACTGGCAGGGATTTTGATGATCTAAGCTTGAAGTTTTGAGAATATGACAGGCATGGCTGACTCTAGGGATCCAATGTTCCCGTTTCTCACAGACTGTGGTTTTGGCTTTAAACTTAACACAGTTCAAACTCAGATCACATTTGGGAGTCTTATACATAATACCAGCTTCTTTATAAGATTTAAAAATATATTTGTAAAATTAGAATATACATTTAGAGGGCTGTTTCCAGCGTTAGATGGTATAGATGATTATCTAGGGTTACCAGAAATGGCCCAGCACAAACTTTGGGCTGGGCCACATTCTTTAGGAACCGGTTTAAGCCATAATTAAGAGTTGTTTATAGTACAGGTAAAATTAGCACAGATAAGAAAGGTATTAGGATTTTAGTCAGTTATATTGCTTTTGAGGAATATTAACCAAGCATGAGGAACAGTGAGATAACTTTGGGATTGTCCTTCCTCATTCCTAGGGAAACACCTGGTGGGTGGGGGACGCCCCCCCACCTACCTGGCTTTGTGTTCATGTGAAAGTCTTGTGATTTGATTGGGATTGTCCTTCCTCATGCTTAAGGAAATGCCTGGTGGGTGGGGGACACTCCCCACCTACCTGGCTTTGTGTTCACGTGAAAGTCTTGTGATTTAACATGTGAAATTTGGGATAAAAGATTCACGGTTGGTCCCAATAAACGGCTTCTGCTCATTTCACTGAATAGTTGTCCACTTTCTTTCTTTCTCTTTATATCCATCCCTCCATCTTTCTTTCAATATCTATCCCTACTACAGAATCAGCTTCTGTACTAGACAGAGTCCAGTCTCTTTCTTTCTCCTTATTTCTCCAGAATATTTGCCGACGCTGCCCCACCTTCCAGGGACCCTCTAAATCTCTTTTGGGGGGGCTGGCCCCCCATACATAAGCATTCTTAGAAATGCTTTTCCTTTCTGCTCATTCATTCTTAAATTATATGAGATATAAAAATTAATTATTTTTCCTATATTATTTTATACTATATCTCATTATGTATTTATTTTCTAGCAACAATTCACTTACCAGATCCGATAAGGTTTCTTTTCCACTGATTTTACAAAATTTCTTCACTGTCTCAAATGTAATATAATACCAAGCCATCAATCTTCCTGCCTCTGTGAGAAAAGATGAAAAAACATTCCCCCCATCAGCTGAAACAACTCACTTTTTAAAAAAAAATCAGTTTTAACAAACATTTCCTTAACATATACTCTGTGCCTACAATGACACTAGCCACAAAAGGCACATCAAAAAATGTAGAAGACACAATCTCTGGAACTTATTGGTTGGCTAGGAAGATAACTACATGCAAAATATCTAGAAGACAAAATCCAGATAATAATATTATTTACATACAAACTTAAATACAGAGGAAATGAAATTTAACAGAAGGGTCAGTGTAGAATGACCTGCCTAGTAGAGACAATGAGTCTTGAGAAGGATTTTAAAGATGACTAATATGCCTTGGCAGATAGGAAATAAAACCATTATGACCTTGGAAAAAATTCTGTTTATCAATAAAGTTAAAAGGACTATTTTTAGAATACTGTAATGAGGGATATAGCTTGATAGTGATTAAGAGTTTGGGTTAAAGTGAGTTGGTTAGAATCCTTGCTCCTAGCCGGGCATAATAGCACGCAGCTGTAGTTCCAGCTACTTGGAAGGCTGAGGCAGAAAGATTGTCTGAGCCCGATAGGTTGAGGCTATGGTGGTCGTGAGCATGCCACTGTACCCCAGTCTGGGCGACAGAATGAGACTAACTCAAAAAAAGAATCCTTGCTCCTCCTCTTATTGGGTAGGTAGGTGATCATGTTCAAGTTACTTTACCAGTTTCTTTCTTTCTTTATACATTTTTTATTTTAAATATGTGGGGTATAATTCAGGGTTAGGTATACAAATGCTCATTATGCAAGTATCCTTGTTGATGAGGTGTGCCCCTGCCCCGGCAGTTTTCCACTACTGCCAATTCTTATAGTATTTACAATAGTTGTTCAAGGTCTGCTTGTGAGAGAGAACATGTGATACTTGGTTCTTTGTTTCTGTGATAGATCACTCAGTATTATAGACTCTAAGTTCATCCAAGTTGCTGAGAAGTTCATAATTTTGTCCTTCTTCCATTGTGTATATGTATCACATTTTTTTTATCCAGTTCTTTTTTGATGGGCAGCACAGTTGGTTCCATAATTTTGCAATTGTAAATAATGCTGCAATAAACATCCGTGTGCAGGTATCTTTTTCATAGAGTGATATGAGTTCCTCCAGGTCTATTCCCAGTAGGGGGATTGCAGGGTCGTATGGAAGGCTGATTTACTTTACCAGTTTCTTAATGTAAGGATAATAAAACTACCTACCTCAGAAATTTGTTGTAAAGAAAATTAAATGCAGTTTATACACACACACACACACACACACACACACACACACACACTCTGCTTAGCATAGTGCTTAACATTTAATAAATGTTGCCTACTTTTATTATTATAACATGATAAATGATAGACTAGAGAGGGCTTGAAAGACCCCTGAAATTATATTAGAGAAGTTTCGATTTTGGATTTGTAAAATAACAAGAGGACTATTAAAATTCTTGTGCAATATTATATTTAAATTGAAGTTTGAAAATAAGTTGTTGTGTATATAGAAAAGCAGGTTGGTTAGGGGTAGGAGGATAGGTGAAGTGCGGGCAAGTAATTGATGGAATGGAATTCACTTAAGAGGTTACTAGACTCACTTATAAATTGTCTAAAAGCATTCCAAAGAATGTCAAGCCTTGTGAATGCACGGAAAAGAGTTGGGAAAAGGAAAGTGGCATACTGCTTCACAAGGAAAAGGCTAACATTTATGTATGTGCTACATGTTTTGCTGAAGAAGATATGTTTGGCATTCCAAGAGGATTATAGGCATCAAGGAGATGGTATAATAGAATTCACAATCAGGGAGAGAGAAGCAGCCAGGCCAGCTTAAAGCCACTTTTTCAATTAGAAGCCTGGTGAAGATGTTCGCCTAAAATGTGGATAGTGGAGCAGTTCATAAAACAAAGCTTCTGAGAGAAGTGTATGAGATATCAAGATTATGGTTACCAAGGGAACTAGTATGTTAACCACTGGGATAGGTTTAAAGATAGTCTTCTTACTCTAAAAGTTTATCAATTAATATAAGGTATCTCTTTGCTATGGAAAATGAAAAATGAAAGGTTTTCAGAAAATATTTGATTCTTATTGACTTATTAGTAGGGCTGAGGCTTTCTTAGGTAAGAAAAAAATATAACCTAGAAAGAAAATGAGTCAAAGTAGAAAGAATGAAAATAAATTTTAAAATATTTGCAATTAAAAGAGGAAATAAACAACTTACTATCAATGTAGCAATTGAATGAATATTCTCATAGTAGGAAATTCAGGATATTTCAAAGTAAAGGTCATGAAACAGATGGGGAGTGGGGCACAGAGGCCCTGAGAATATACCTTTCAGACCTCCAACTGCAAGACGCATCACTGACTGATAGCCCCAGCTACTGCGCACTGAATCATCACTATGTTTACACTGAAATCATACTTTCACAAGATGTTCCCAACCAATGGTTGAGCATGGCAGGGACACTAAGGTAGACTTATGAGACAATGAGTTCCCCTGATAGGCAACTTTGGCTTGAAGATTCCCTATTAATGTGGCCATACATTCTTAGGACCGCATTGCAGAATAAGCTCCTTCCCTTCCTTTCCTTCTTTCCTTTCTTCTTTTGTAGTATGTGGTAATGTAATATGTGGTTTATCTAGGTATTTTACAGGTGAAAATACCTAGATACTTGAGTATTATGATAACAAACTAAAAAGCAACTATATGAAGCACAACTACTGAAATATACAAACTAAGAACTCATATACAAAGAAAATAGACTCAAAGAGACAAAAGAAAATATTTGTAATATGAAGGAACAATATGTCATAAAAGTAAATTAATTAGAAATATTACATAAGGAACTTAATTCTATATTAACGATGGGCTAAGAAATTACAAAGCAACCCTTCTGCTAAAGGCAACTAAAATAGCTAAGTGAAATACAAGTATCTCCAAAGCATCCAAGAACTAACAAAATATTTATCTGAAAGAGGGCTTACACTCAGAGATAAAATTAAAATTCCTAGGTTTTTCCCCCCAAAATTGAGGTGTGTAGGTCTGGGGTGGAATTAATTGCATTTTAACATAACAGCACCTTCGGTTGATTCTGACGGCAAGTAGTCAACCCAACACACTTTCAAAAACATTACCCTAGCATGTGATAAGGAAGATTTCCAACCCTAACACTGGATTTAGTGTTTGATGACTTCCTGGATATGGAATGACGGAAGAAAAACCAAATGTATCAAATATTTTATGGTGATCTTAGGCTTGGAAAAAAAAGCTAATAATAGGCAAATAAAGATATATTTTCCTAGTCTTTGAAAAAAAGGAATAACAATCCTTGTTGCAGTAAAATATTTTTACATTCATTATTCCATTTGATCATCACAATAACCCAATATGGGAAGACATGTAATATATTCCTATTTTTCAGATTCCTATTTTTCAGATGAATAAACGAAGGCCCAGTTAGCATAAGATCATAGCCGGCAAGTAGTGGAACTGGTATGGAAATTCAGGTATTTGGAATCCAAATTCTATGTTCCACTGTATTCCAGGTCAAATTCACTCTTATTTGCATCTGGGTGTCAAGTTTCATGTATATATGTAAGTAAAAACTTCCAACAGAAAACTGAGGATCAAATTTTGTAGCAAAGGTAAGAAACCATGGCCAAAACTACAATGTTGAATTAATGTACATAATGACTATAGATATCGCAGTGAAAGTAGATTATGCTTGCAAAGAAATGAGCACAAACTAGGAATAAAGATCCAGGGACTGAAACTTTAAGAAGCCCATAGTAAGCAAAAAAAAAAAAAAAAGTCAGCAAAGGGAGACTAAAAAAGCAGAAGGAGAGCCAAAAGAGTAGTAGAGTGTCAAGAAGAAAAAAATTAATCATATAGTGTTCACTTATGACTAAGAAAAAAGAAAAAATGTTAGTGTAGATCATTTAGTAGATATGTTTAAAGACAGAAGGAATGGTATTGGTAGATTCAAGAAGTACCACAAAGAAGAAATGATAGTGGAAATAAGATTCTTGATGAGAATAAAAGGATCTAAGAATAGATTTTTTAAAAAGTTAACCTTGGTGATTCTTATGACCCCCCCCCCACCTCCAGCGAGATACTGTAGACCACACAAAAGGATAATGCTCATAAACAAAGTTGGGCTTATCAAAATAAGGAGTAGATAAGGATCTGCAAAGACATGGTAAATGGCATAATGGACACTGGTGACTCAGAAGGTGGGAGAGGGGTGCAGGGACAAAACATCACCTGTCCGGAGCAAAGTGCACGGGTAGGGGTGGTGGGTGTACTTAAAACCCAGATTGAAGCTATTTGTACTCCCCAAGCTATTGAAATAATTTTTTTTAGAAAACAGTGGCCCAAAATCTTCTAAGGCAATATTTAATGGTACTTTTAGTGCATACAAATTATAAGTATAGGGGAAAGAAAAGAACTTTGTCTCTTAAGATTTTGTCTCAGTGATGCTGAAGATGCCCAAACTGTTTTAAACCATTATCAAGAGATCTTGAAGGGTGGGGAAGGGACCTGACTAACCAATTAATACAACACATTGCAGCCAAGAATTCATGTCTTAGCAAAATGCAACATGGATTAAGCCTTGCAATGGTAGCCATGATGTTGTTATTTTTGTTTTAGAAGATTGTGTTTCAAGGAATTGCCAAAGTACTTTTCCAAAAGCAGAGGGAGGGAGGGTATGGTCAAGCAATAGAATATAGCAAACGTTAACAGAATAAATAATCCAAGCTTCAGATGCATACATACTGACATCCCACAAGATTCCAAACAATTTACATGTGCAACTTGTTTTTTGCATTTACTAAGAAGTCACGCGAACTGATTAATTGTGTAATGTTTGTTCAGATTGTTAGGTCCTAACCAGATTTCAGGTATTTCAAAATATAATGATCTAATTATGATCACTGTAGAATAGTAGAGATGGGCTTAACTTGCCCCAAAACATTTTCTAACATATTCTAAATGCACATAAATTACAACATATATGGTAGCATGTCTATAATCACAATAAAAAAGAATGAGTAAGGAAGATTGAAAAAAATGTTATTAATCTAGGGTTGAGAGTCAGGGCAGTAAACTGTTTTAAAACAATTGTAACAACATGATACAAAATCATACATTTCTATAGCATGGTTGCAAGTATGTAAAAAGTGCATTAAAATTGGAAGGGTATATCCCAACCTGTAATCCCAGCACTTTGAGGGGCTGAGGTGAGTGGATTGCCAGAGCCCGTGGGTTGGAGACCAGCTCGGGCAACATGGTGAAACCTCGTCTCTACAATAAATCAAAAAGTTAGCTGGGCGTGGGCACACGCCTGTAGTTCCGGCTACTTGAAAGGCTGAGGTGGAAGGATTGTGGGAACCCAGCAGATCGAGGCTGCGGTGGCCATGAGCATGATACTGCGCTCCAGCCTGGGTGACAGAGTGAGACTCCAACTCAAAAAAAAGAACAAAAAAAGAAGGGTAAATGCCAAATATTAATAAACAGATTTCTGATTTTTCTTTTTTTGAACATGTTAGTGGGTTTTTAATATACCACTGATGTCTCTGGTAAAGCAGACTCAGGTTGTATATCTATTATATAGTTATAATCTTCATGAAGTTAGTTATTTTGGTACTTTTTTCTTTTCTCACCATGTTGCCTGGGTTGGTCTCCAACCCGTGGGCTCAGGCAATCCACTCGCCTCGGCTCCTCAAAGTGCTGGAATTACAGGCTTGAGACATCGCGTCCAGCCAGATTCTGAATATTTAATAAAAACTTTTCTATACTTCCCAACTTTTATAGAGTAAGTAGAGTACCTTTTCTTAAAAGGTTTAGTTGGAATAATGAAGTCTATATTTTCTCCAAAAAATTTTCTAATCACAAGTGCTGAAAACCATAAAACATTATTTCCTTCTCCTATTATAATGTAAATAGTACTTAAGAGAGAGAGAAAAAAAGGAGTGACAGGGTTCAGGACACACTTCCCCAAAACATGGCATCTTGGCATATTGAATATTTTAAGCTAAAGAATTTGAGGAACAGCAAGAACTTTCTGACCTTCCTCTGAAGCAGGTCATAAAATTCTCATGTAAAACGTGTCCTCCCTATACCTGGAATAAAGGAACATCCTTATCCCCAAAGGCACAGGACACAAAGATGAATCTGAGTGAATAGGCTTTGTTAAATTTTCCCGTTTATTACACTTGGTTCATAAACACTCAGATTTAACCATTTCTTGGGAGATGGTTTAATCATTTCATTTCTTTATGAAGGCTCCCATGTCACATAAAACTTATGTTAAATAAATCTGTATGCCTTTCTCTTGTTAATCTGTCTTTGGTTATAGGGGCCCAGCAAATGAACTTTACTCATGTAAGTAAAAGGAAAATATATTTTTCTTAATGTTACAAAAGGCTTGGTAGCCAGCCACATAATCAATAGTCAAGTATTTAAGAACTGGTAAAAAGATACATACAGTAATTACAACAGGTCTCAAGCAACCCAAAGACTTGAGCGCTTTAATCCTCTGCTAAAAGTCACCAAAATCAAAATCAGTGAGGACAAATTCTTTGTCAAAAAGAAGTTCAATACTTTTTTTTTAATTTGAGTTGGAGTCTTACTCCATCACCCAGGCTGGAGTGCAGTAGCATGCTCACAGCCACCCCAGTGTTGACCTGCTAGGTCCCGGCAATCCTTCCACCTCAACCTTCCGGAACTATAGGTGCGCACCTGCATGCCCAGCTAATTTTTTATCTTATTGTAGAGACAAGGTCTCGACAAGTTGCCTGGGCTGGTCTCGAACCCCCAGGCTCAGGCAATCCACTTGCCTTGGCCTCCCAAAGTGCTGGGATTACAGCCTGGGCCACCAAACCCGGCCAATACTTTAAAAAATATCACTTGTGTAAATTTATCATGCGTTATGGCTAATAATGACAATACCCTGTTGAGAACAGAAATCACAATTTAGTTTTACCAACATCCAAATTTTAGTAGAAGAAATTATTAATTTTGTCTTAAGTAAGTAATTGCTAAATTTACTAACAATGATAGGAAATTACCAGTTGGTTTGAAATTAACATCTTCATCCATCTTTATTAAGTCCAGGGATGATAAATCATTCAGATTCTTCAAACATAATTCTGCTCAATTATAGAGAACATATTTTAATTTTAGTAAAATAGAGAAGCAGGGCAAAATAGAATTTATTACTAAATATGCTAAAGCTATGTTACTGTGCAACTATCCTGGGAAGAACCATAGTCCCTACTTAAGTGGTAAGAAAAGATTCACTTAAACAAAAGAGCTAACTAATACGTCAAAAGATTTTCTAACAGTAGCAATAATACAAATAATAAAAATAACATTAAGTGAAAATAACATTTACAACTTGGAGCATTTAAATGATAGACACATATTACCTCATTTAATCTTCAAAATAACACAATAAAGTAGGCATTAATGTTATTTTCATATACAGATTAGGAAACTAAAGAATAGACGTTAAGTAATTTACTCCAGGTCTAAGTAACTGCTTTGCTCTCTGTCCTCCATTATGGCAGTAGTTTTCTTTTTCTTTTCTTTTTCCTTTCAACTTCTATCAAAGATTTGTGTGCACAAAGTATAAAGAGTCAAATGATTCTACAAAGATTATTCTATTCCACCAGTCCTTCCCTTCCTCCCTGTTTGTCACTTTCCTGAGGCAACAACTTAAAACTGTATTAACTGATGCTTTTATTATGTACTTGTTTTTCAGACTATGCCATCATGGCTAACTGGAAAGAACTTCTGAATAGGAAGTCATGCTAGTTCAGGCTCACTAACTGATGGGAATGAAACCAATTTTAGTAGCCTGCTGCTTACAGTTCTCTCTTTGCCCCATGCTGCAGCCCAGGAGATATGAGGCAGTTCAGAGCAGACAGTGAGAATACTTCAACTGTTCAATCCTAAATAGAGTAGCCACTCACAAAAAAGCCATTAGAAGGAAGGTTCTTTGGGAAGTATTTAGTTTGTGACATTGCTTAGACAGCTTGATAGTTTTAAGTGTTTGGTTGAATAAAGCTTTTGAAGTCTCTTCTGATTTTCTTAATTACATTAAGTCAGTTCATTACCCACTATTCAGTCAGTCAATAAAGAATACTTACTATACTATATACTATACTATTCTAAGCTCTAGGTTTACAGCAGTAAATAAGACAAGGTTTTTCTACAGAATTTATACTTATTGAAGAAAGCAATCCAATATACAAACAAGTAATAAAGTTTCAAGTATATGATAAAAATAAAGCTGAGAAAGAACTTATAGAATAATAGCGATTTTAAGCTTTTAACTAAAGTTTATGTGTTTCTGATATATGCTATATAATTTTTGATATGAATATACAGTCACCCTAATTGTCAAAATAAACACATCACCTTTTCCAAGAACAAGGAAAACAACAATAACATCATGAAATCATTTTGTCTTCCTCTCAGTAAAAGGGGATTTAAATAAGATCGTACAGGAAAATCTCTCTAAAAAGTGACATGTGAATAAAATGAAGGTGCACACTATGTAAAATATGCATGAAGTATTCCAAAAATAAGGAACAGAGAGAGCAAAGGACCTGATGTAAGAACAAGATTGCTGTGTTTAAGGAACAGCAAAGCAGCTGGTTTGGTAAGAGTAGAATAAAAGAGAAAGTGACAAGGGATGAAATTAGAGAAACAGGCTGAGTGCGGTGGCTCAAGCCTGAATCCCAGTACTTTGGGATGACAAGGTGAGAGAATTACCTGAGCCCACAGCTTTGATACCAGCCTGTGCAGCTTGGCAAGACCTCATCTCTACAGTAAATCAAAAAATTATCCAGGCGTGGCAGTGCTTGCCTGTAGTTCCGGCTACTTGGAAGGCTGAGGCAGAAGGATCACCTCAACTCAATAGGTTAGGACACTGGGCTCGCCATAAGTGTCACTGCACTCCAGCCTGTGTGACAGAGTGAGACTCTGACACAAAAACAAAAAAGAAATCAGAGAAATAGGCAAGGAAAGATCAAGTAGGACTTTGTGGGCTCTGATGAAACTCTGTATTTATTCTAAGAGAGTGATGAAGGAGGCATTAAAGGATACTGAGCAAGAAAGTATAACCAAGTTTAGGCAACAGCATACTCTATGCTAAGGACCCTTCCTGAGAGATTTAAGGCAGACCTCCAAGGCTTAATGGCAGGGCTCAGAAAACACTACCACAAAGTACTTTGAACTGAAGACTGCAAGAGTCCCAGAAGCAAAAAGGGCACTCTGACCTTCCCTTTTCTTTCTGTGTAATGCATGGTCATAAAGGAATTCTCTGATCTACCTTGCCTGAAAGTACAAGACCTTCAATTCCAGGATATGAAATGGTCCTGCCTAATATCCAGAGGTCACAGAGAGGTCAAGAGGAATCTGAACAAATGGGCCTTACTAATTTCTCCTCATTTTATTAACATTAGATCATACTTTTTTGGTCCAATCATTTTTCTCCAAACTATCCACTTCTTTCATTAAACTTAGAATAGAAACACACAGTATTACCTGGAGGCTTAATTTCTGAAGGCTGCTATGTCACATAAAACTTTGATTAAATAAATTTGTTATGCTTTTCTCTTGTTAATCTGTATTTTGTTATAGCAGTGTCCACTATGGACCTTGCAATGAATGAGGAAAAGATGTAACTTTTTTTCTTCACTACAATACAAAAACCTTATATTCTTATTTACATAATGAATCTAGCTATCCTTCTTTATAAGGCAAAACTTTGCTAACCCTATAATGTCTGAAGATAAGGCAAATATGAAATGGCGAGTCTGCTAAGAAAAACATTGAATTTATTAGAATATAGCAAGATATCTCTTAAACTGTCTAATTTCTTGAGTGTATTTAATCATGATTATCAAAATATATGCTTTAATTTTAAAATTTCCATTACAAAATTGGTCAGTAAATACAGATAATACAACTGTTTTCTAGATCTGTATCTCAACAGCAGCATTATGAATATATGCTATTGCTTATCACCATGTCTTAAAACATATTTATTCTTTTTATTTTTAAAAAATTTTTATTCATTTATTTTGAGTTGGAGTCTCACTCTGTTGCCTAGACTGGAGTGCAGTAGCATGCTCCCGGCCACCGCAGCCTCGAACTGCTGGGTTCCAGCAATCCTCCCGCTTCAGTCTTCCAAGTAGCTGGAACTACAGGCGCGAGCTACCACGCCTGGCTAATTTTTTTGATTTATGGTAGAGATGAGGTCTCGCCAAGTTGCCCAGGTGGGTCTCGAACCCACGGACTAAGGCAATTCACTCACCTTGGCCTCCCAAAGCGAGGGATTACAGGCTGAGCCACTGAGCCCAGCCATGTATTTATTTTTTATGCAAGACAATTATACTGCTTCATCCTTACCTCTGCATTTTTATTTGACATACATGTATCTTCAAGTAGTGAATAAATTAAAATGGGCTAAATATTTTTAGTGGATCTAACTTCTTTTACTGGAAGAAGAATCTCAACACAATGAAGAAGTAGCAATTTCTAATCCTAATAAATGTCTAACAATATTTTGATATTTTAAAAGACAGATAATGAAATACTAAGTAATTAAATAATAAAGCTGGAGTTTGCTAGGAATACATCATTGCACAGATTAGCAAAAAAGCCAATGATCAAGGCAGCCTTATATTTTCTGTTAAAATTAACTAGAAAAGAAAATTACAGAGTATGTATCTGAAGGCAACATTTTCAAAAATCAGGATCATGTTAAAGATAAAAACCAGCCAGGCTCGGTGGCTCAGCCTGTAATCCTGCACCTTGGGAGGCTGAGGTGAGTGGATTGCCTAAGCCCGCAGGTTCGAGACCCGCCTGGGCAATTTGGTGAGACCTTATCCCTACAATAAATAAATAAATAAATCAGCCGGGCGTGGTAGCCTGTGCCTATAGTTCCAGCTACTTGGAAGGCTGAGGTGGAAGGATCGCCGAAGCCCAGCAGGTCGAGGCTGCGGTGGCCGGGAGCCGCCACTGTATTCCAGTCTGGGCGACAGAGTGAGACTCCAACTCAAAAAATAAATAAATAAGCCAGGCTCGGTGGCTCAGCCTGTAATCCCGCGCCTTTGGGAGGCTGAGGTGAGTGGATTGCCTGAGCCCGTGGGTTTGAGACCCACCTGGGCACGTGAGACCTCATCTCTACAATAAATCAAAAAATTAGCTGGGCGTGGTAGCGCGTGCCTATAGTTCCAGCAACTTGGAAGGCTGAGGCGGAAGGATCGCTGGAGCCCAGCAGGTTGAGGCTGCGTTGGCCGGAGCGGCCACTCACTCCAATCTGGGCGACAGTGAGGCTCCAACTTAAAAAAATAAAACAAAACAAACAAACAAATAAATTAATTAAATGAATAAATAAAGATAAAAAGCAAATAAACCAAGTTAAGATATTATATAAAGATATTCCAATAGAATTAATACAGATTAATTCAGCAATAAGTACATGTGCCAAGCTTTATGTGTGAAAAAGAAATCGTTTATTTTTTCTACAGACAATAAATTTCTTTTTTAAAAAATTCTTACTTTCACAATAGCAACTTTTTCATTAAAATATATAGAATATTTTTAGAAGGAAATGTATCTAACCTTGTAATTTTGATTCGATTCCACCTTTGTTCAATTCAGATGCAAAACCTGTATAAGCCATGAAAATTTACAAAAAATAAAATAGAATGGATTTAATTCATCTTTGTAGGTTCAGTTTATACCCTGGGTAACTAGAGAAGAATAGTCTAAATAAATCTTATATAGGAAAAAAAAACCAAAAATCCAGCTTACTGAGTTCAAACAAGGTCTAAGTATCTATAGAAAACAACCACTGTTTTGATATCCTTTCAATATAAAGTAGGTGTCTTTTGCCTATTTTATTGTATAACAGTGATCAGAAATATTATATTTTAATAAGAATAGTGTGGAATAAATTCCTAATATTTTACACATAACAAATATTTGTCTAGTGATTAATATTTTCTAATGAACTTCATTATAAAATGGATGTACCCATAAAAACATGGTAATACAACAATTTTGAGCTATTCACTAAAATTGAAAGTTATACTCTATAACCCAATAATTGTATTCCTAGGCACATACCCATAGTTATACATGTGTGTATCAGAAGGCATATATAACAGCATTCACAGCAGCATTATTTACATTAAGAATTTTCTTTCATCAAAAGATTCTTTAAGAAAGTGAATAGTCAAGTTATAGACTAGAAGAAGAGATTTGAATACACATATTTTCTAAGACTCTTATCCAGAATATATAAAGAACTCCTATATATTAATAATAAAAATACGGTAGTTTCTTTCACCCATGCCAGCTCTGGCATGTCCCCATTTCTTTTCTCACTTCTTTCTATAATAAACTTTGTTTGAAAACTAACTAACTAATAATAAAAATACAAACAACCCTAATTTTAAAATGGATAAAAGACTTGAAGGGGCACTTCAAAACATGGTTAATAAACAAGAAAGTATCCTTAGTGCTTGTATTCACCAGGAAAATGCAAAAGGAGATAATACACCACTACATACACACAGAAATGGCTGAAATTTAAAATACTGACAAAATCAACTATTTGCAAACTGATGTAGAGAATCCAGAACTCTCATACATTGCTGCTTATAGTGTAAATTGGTTCAATTGCTTTAGAAAATTACTATATTTTGGGGTATCTACTGTGTGCATTAGAATGGTATTGCAATGAGTCAGGTTTTAATTTGGTATTCAGTAACCCCAAGTATTCTTATTTTATAACCTACACCACATGAAAAAACCATCTAGAAGCAACATAACCAGATGTGTGTTAGCTTTAAGCAGGATGAAAATTCCAGCTGCAATAGTAATACTATATACACTTTGATTTCTTGTGAAATGAAAAATGAACAGTAACAAATTCAGAATAAGTGAGTGGCTGAACACTAAGTACAGACAAAATTCTAGACTTTAAAAACTTTAACTTATTTTTTAAAATTTAGGCATTTCTGTTATTTGTAGTAGAGCTGATTTTTTTCCTACCAGGTATATTTTTAATAGTGCTGATTTCAAACTTAATTACAAAACTAGAAATAAAACATTTCAGATAAAGATTTTTCACTTTTGTCTAATGTTGCCTCTAAATGTAACTTGTTACTTTTGTTTCCGTTACATATTCGTTTCTGTAATCTATCTATTCCATGAGCTATTAGTATAAATATAGGCCTAGTTGGCTTGAAAAGATGACTACTTTTCCAAGTCAACGTAACAAACCATAATGAGATGGATTTTTCAAGGCTCTGATATAAAGCAGGGTTGAGCGTATCCATTCCAAAGCGATATTCACATCTGTGATGGTATGCAGTACTATCTCTGCATTTAAATGCTCAATGAGATGTCTGTGCAAACTAAAGGAGAAAAAAAACAACTTTGCATTACTAATATGCATTTCAATGCCATAACTCTTACTTTTAAATTTTAACAATATATAATATACTCACTGCTACTTTAATAATTCATAAAATATAACAGTTTCCAAAAATATAAGAGGAAAAGTTTAAAATGTCAGTTAAACTTTTAAAAAGACCTGAGATTTCTCTCTACTTCATGGCTCTAAAAGACAGATTATTATTTTTAAAAAAAGTGGAAGGTGAATTATATCCTATTTCCTCCAAAAGAGAATTTATCAAATACTTTACTAATAGGTCCCAAATTGCCTCTCTCTTAGTAATAAACAAATTTTAAAGATGTTAAAATAATATTTCTCCTCTTAGTATAAATTAGCAATTATAAATTTATATAATTTAATATATAAGTTGTAATATAATTAGTAAGTCCTTATTATAAGTTAGGCCTTGTTATAAACAAGGATACATGCTAACATGTTAAGAAATGCATGTTGAATAAAAATCTTTTGTACAGAAACATTAAATTCCCTAAAAGAACATAAACTATCTAGTTAAATTGTTGAAAATTTCCAGAAAATGGCTGTTAAAAATCTCCAAACAAATTTATTTATAATATATTAAAAGAATAAAATAGATTATATTAGCATTATTATCTTTTTTGGAATATTTTCTGTATTACCTGCTTTCTACAGTGTCGTTACAAGCTAATATCTGAATGTATTTCTCTCTTGTACTTAACCGAGTCATAATAACCGCAGTAGCAGTAGTGTCAAACTGGAAAAAAAAAAAAGAAAGAAAAATACAACTACATAGAGAAATTTAGAAAAGAAGACCACATTTTGATACCAGTCCTCTTCATGACTCAAGACTTTCATTTTATATTAAGCAGTGCCCTTGCCTTACATAACAGTTCAAAAAGAACTTAAAAATGCTCTGAGTTTAAATGTTAACTGAAAATTTAATTTAAAAACCTTCCAAGAGTATGGCCATAAGTACTACTTTGGTTTCAATATAACAATTTTGGCAATGTTAAAATAAAAACACTTTGGTCACTAGATAAAAACTGTAATAGTTGGTGTAGTTTACATATAATCTGATTCAATCCACATAGTTATAAATTGTGTAACAATATTTTGACATTGTTTGGAAAGATGTCCTTTCTGAATGTTCCCTTAGTACCTATATGAATGGCTTCTTCTTTCAAGTATTTGTCAGAGTAGGGTTGTTTTGAAATGCATATGGACTGACTTAATTGTCACGATGCCTGGGGACCAGTACTGGCATTTAGTGCTAGGACCTAGGGATGCTACACATCCTGTAATGCACATGGCAGCCCTACACAACGGAAAATTGTCCCATCACAATGCCGAGAGCACTCCCATTTATAATAAAAAGCAAAACAAACAAACAAAAAACTCCTCAAAACTAAAAAGTGCTTTAGCAGCATCCATTCATAAACCTACTCTTTCATCAAACAGTGGGAGCTTAGAGAGAATGGAGAAAGCAGGTCCCAGCTGGTGAAGCTTGTTTTACTTTTATTCTTCCATTAAGGTAGATTTTCTCTGTTAAATTACTTTTAAACCTAATCTAATTATGACATGCCAATTTAAAAAATCGTATTTAGTTTTTACTATGTTTTAACATAAGCTATAACAAGCAAAGTTATTTTCACTTACTTGAGGTCGACCAGCTCTACCAATCATCTGTAGAATATCTGTTTCACTGTACTCTTCAAACATTCCTCCAGAATAATGCATTGTAGATTTTATAACTACTAGGTGAGCAGGCAAATTTACTCCCATAGCTAAAGTACTGGTAGTAACTGCATCGGATTAAGACAGTAATTTCAAGCCATATAACGTTATTGCTTCAGGAAGACATAGTCTTATAAAAGACATATTTTTATAAATGCAATAAAAACTCATATGTAAAAAATTTAGAAAAGATGAAAGAAAAAAAGCATTACAGCCTAAAATAGTAACACTTTAAAACCAAAAAACTACTAAATTATTATTTTCAAATTGCCCTATGTTCAATAACATGATAAATTACCAAGCACTGACAAAGAATTCACTGTAACATGTTCATGAATGGGTAATTACATAATTTTAGAGTGTCAGAATAAAAGCTGAAATAAGCAGAATATCTGGGGGTTTTTTCCCGCTAAAACATAATTTTCCAAAATATTTTATAATATCCAAAGAAATATGTTTTACTTACAAAGAACTGGTAGATCACCAACAGTAAAAGCTCCTTCAACTATTTTTCTATCTGACAGCTCCATGCCAGCATGATGATAAGCAATACCATCTATTAAGAGTTCTATAACAGAAATATATCACCCATTAATATTTCATCAGTAATGGACTACTTTTTTCTATATCTGAAAATGCTATTCAAAAATGATCTCTACACTTACCTCTCAGTTTGGAATCCCTTACGGAATATGCATAGTTCTGTAACCTATTTAAAAATATCAGAAAATTTATTGAATTATTTTCAGTAACATCAGAAAACTCTAAAATCACTATTATTTTAAAACATATATATAAATTATATGTATGTGTGTGTATATATACACATATATACATATATAGTTGAAGAAGCTTTTACTGTTGGCGATCTACTTAGTTCTTTGTAAGTAAAAACATATTTCTTATGGATATTATAAAATATTTTGGAAAATTATGTTTTAGTGGAAAAAAGAAAAAGCTCAGGTATTCTGCTTGTTTCTGCTTTTATTTTGACACTCTAAAATTATGTAATTACCCCATGCATGAACATACTACAGTAAATTCTTTGTCAATGCTTAGTAATTTATCATGTTGTTGAACATAGTGCAATTTGAAAAATAATAATTTAGTAGTTTGTGTGTGTGTGTGTGTGTATGTATATATATACCCCCCAAAAGATTTTCACAATATCATAATCTGAAATTTAGCTTTAATAAGTAGATAATATAGCCTGGGCAACATAGCAAGACCTTGCCACTTCAAAAAAATTTTAAAAAATTAGCTGGGGATGGTAGTGTATGCCTCTAGTTCCAGCTACTCAGAAGGCAGAAGGATCCCTGGAGCCCAGGAGTTCGAAGTTGTACTGAGCTATGATGATGCCACTGTACCTCAGCTTTGGTGACAGAGCGAGAGCCCAACTCAAAAAAAAAAAAAAAAAAAAAAAAAGGCAGAGAATATCTAACTTTTATATTCAAAAGTTCCTAACTTATCAGCAGTAACCCTAATGCCCACTTTTAATTCAAGAATTTGAAACACTGCTCCATTTATGTTTTTTGTGGAACAAACATAAATGGTAATTATGTTCATGAGTCAGAATATAAGTTTAATTCCCATAATTTCCCTAAAATATATTTGTAAGGAATAACAATTTTTAAAACTCTACAATACAAGGGCACCTGCATAATAAACATTTGTATACCTAACCCTGAATTGTACACCACATCTCTAAAATAAAAAATTTAAAAAAAACAAAATAAAATAAGATAAAAACTCTATGATAGCACTATTAACTAAGCCCCAAAATGCGGGAAAAATAGTTGTTAATTGTGCGCTAAGACATGGCACTTAAAGAAAACCAGGTCAGGAGGAAGCAACGTGGTCAACTAGAGGTGCCTAATGGCCATCCTAACAACAAAAAAGGACCAAAACAATGAATAAACAACGAACTTCATTTTGACCAGCGTGACTAAAGGAAATTGCTGGAGTACAGCAAGAGATGGAAGAAATACTGTAGAGCACAGAAACTCAGTTGACCACATAGAGAAAGGAAGGAAACGTTTTGATTCTACCATCTTATCCCCTCAGTTGGGATCAGCTCAAAACCAGGAAGAAAAAGGTAAGCAGGAGGACCTCAGCAACTTATATCACCTGTGTGGATACCTGGGGTCTTCATTATGGGAGAATCCTTGAGTCTTCACAGGCCCTGACCCCAAGTTAGGGAGCTGCATGGAGTTTACACAACTACACTACTCCAGAGAAGGAGCCCACATTGTGTCCTGCTCCTCGTGGTCCAAGCTGCTACCGTGCCATGCTATCTTGAAACTAGAGCCACTGTTAGAGTATGCCTGCTCCAGGAGTCAACAGTCACTACATCTCTTCATCCCTGAGGCTCTGCCATCATTGCACCATGCTAACACACAGTTGTGCACTATTCCTCAGCCAAGTAGCTATAGCTCCCCACTCCCTGGGAACAAAAGGTATCTCAGAGTCACTCCATCTCTCCCAGCCCAGTTGTAGCAGTGTCCATGCCCTTTCTACTTCTCAGAGCCCAGGCCTAGCAGAGAAGCTGCCTCTGCCACCCTCTCCCACAACAAACAACCCAGTGCCCAGTTCCCACAGGAACTAAAGTGCCAGCCTCCGGTACCCAAGCTGACAAAGTATGCTTCTCCCCCACCCCAGCGATCAAGAGGCCTGGCCTAGGGGAGCAGCTGCACCCCAGGACCCTGCTTGGGGGACCACAACTCAAAACCCAGCAGACACATGTGTCCCTACACACCTAAGTTGGCATGGTGCTCTGCCCCCAAGGATATGGACCTTGGCTAAGCTGTACCACCCACCCTCTGTGTGAAATAACCTCAGCAACTCACTTCTTGAGATCTGGACTAGCCCTCTGGAATCTGAGTTGCTGAGGGGCCCCATCTCCCTGAGGAGGAAAGTCATTCTTGTGCTACTCCTGGCCTTCGAGAGCCCAGGCCACAGCTGTGCCCTGGTATTCCTGGGTTCCTGATGCTGCTGCACCCAGCCTAGCAGAGCCCGGGCTACTGCTGTGTCCAACCACCCAACAATCCAGAGTCACCAGTAAGTGGTAACTCCTCTCCTGGTGCCCAAGTTGCTATTGTGCCTTTTTAACTCCAGGACCTGAACAGGAGCAGTTCCCTGCTCCCTGGAGCTCAAGTCTCTAGAATACCACTTCCCTGGCCCTGTGCCAATGCTGTTCCCTGACCCCCAGGATTGGAGTCAGGGTTATATCCCTGCCTCTTGGGCCCGAGCTTTTGAGAAGTGCCTCTGAGAATGAACATGCACCCACATTACAGGTGCCACATTAGTTCATTAGGACACTGAGCTCAGAACCCCAGCTCTACAGCCACTCCAAGCACCTATGCCCTGGAACGGTGCTGCCGTGGCTGATTGTAGACTGTGTCAGACCTGATACCAAGAGGTATCTCCCCAACTAAATATCCCCATCATGGAGAAAATGAGAACAGAGGACCCCTAAACCCTTGCTACTGAGAATAACAGCCAATGCTACCAGCACCACTGCCACAAATTCCTAAAGCATACACCACTGAGGTACTCACAGTCATTGCTGACCACAGCTGAAGAAGCTGCAGAGACTATAACTACTGTGTTCACTTAGAACCAGAGCCAATATATTTATATCTTAGGACAGATCTGCAGGTGAAAGTCTTATGAGATTTATTATATTTATTTATATAGAAATATATTTATATTTACACTTATTATACTTATTATATAAGTATATTATTATATACTTATCATACTTATACTCTACTTATATCCTAGGACAGATCTCAGGAGAAAGTCTTTCCCTACAAAAACTTCTTTTTTTTTTTTGAGTCAGAGTCTCACTCTGTTACCCAGGCTGGAGTGCAGCGGCATGCTCATGGCCACCACAACCTCGACCTGCTGGGCTCCGGTGATCTTTCCACCTCAGCCTTCCAATTAGCTGGAACTACAGGCATGTGCTACCATGCCCAGCTATGTTTTTGATTTATTGTAGAGACGAGGTCTTGCCAAGTTGCCCAGGCTGGCCTCGAATCCCTGGGCTCAGGCAATTCTCTCGTCTCAGCCTCCAAAAGTCCTGGGATTACAGGTTTGAGCCACCGTGCCCGACCTAAAACTTCTTTATAAATTTTTTAAGAGATGACTATTCTACTAAATGTCCAGATATCAATGCAGAAACACAAGAAATATGAAAAAGGAAACATGACACCACCAAAGTAAAACAATACTTCTCCTGTAACTGATGCCAAAGAAACAGAAATTTATAAATTGCCTGAAAAGGGATTCAAAATAAAGATACTAAGGAAATTTAGGGAGGTACAAGAAAATACAGATAGTTTAATGTAATCAAGAAAACAATTCATGATCTGAATGATAAATTCATTCAAAAAGAACCAAACATTTTCTGTTTGACACAGGGTATCAAGGAGGAAGATATGAATAGCACAAGAAGTTAGTTAGTATTACCATTGTCATTTGTATGCATTAATAAAATTCTGATGAGGACCTGCTTTTTGCTTGTTTTTCCTTGAAACCAAGCCCTATTATATTCATATTTAAAATGTGTACACATTTGTATAATAATCTGTTCTTTGTGGTATTTGGTACTATTACAGGAAAAATTTCAGATCCAGACTTTTTTGCAGTTTTTATATCATTGTTTTATTTCGTTTTTAAAATAAATTCTAAGCTGAGCTTGATGGCTCAGTCTGTAATCCCAGCACTTTGGGAGGCCGAGACAAGTGGATTGCTTGAGCCCGTGGGTTCAAGACCAGCCTGGGCAACTTGGTGAGACCTCATCTCTACAATAAAATAAAAAATAGCTGGGCGTGGAATTACACGTCTGTAATTCCAGTTACTCAGAAGGCTGAGGCAGAAGGATCACTGGAGCCCAGAAAGTCGACAATGGGGTGGCCGTGAGCATGCATGCCACTGCATTCTAGCCTGGGCAAAGGAGTGAGACTCCAACTCAAAAAAATAATAATAAAGTCTAGTGGTTTGAGCCAAACCCCATTACAGTTGCATAAGGAAATAAAATTTAATACTTATATTATTTTTAAAAACCACAATTTTTAGGCTGGGCACAGTGGCTCAAGCCTGTAATCCTAGCACTTTGGGGGTCCGAGATGAGAGGATTGCCTGAGCCCATGGGTTCAAGACCAGCCTGGGCAACATGGTTAGACAACGTGTCTACAATAAATAAAAATTAGCCAGGCATGGTAGCACACACCTGTAGTTCCAGCTACTTGGAAGGCTGAGGCAGAAGGATTGCCGGAGACCAGCAGGTCAATGCTGGGGTGACAGTGAGCATGCCACTGCACTTTAGCCTGGGGGACAGAGTGAGACTCCAACTCAAAAAATAAAAAAATAAATAAAAGCATCTTTTTAATATCTAAAAAAAGAACAAAATAGAAATCTTGGAACTGAAGAATTCAATGAATGAAATAAAAATATAATAGAAAACTTCAACTGTGAAATTGCAGTCAGGTCTGTTGAAACAGCCCAATCAGAGAAAAAATAAAAATAAAAAAGAGTGAAGAAAGTCTACAGGACTTATGGGACATCAGTAAGCAAACAAGTATTTGCATTATGGGGGTTCCAGAAGGAGAAGAGATGGGAAAAGATACAGAAAGCTTATTTTAAAATAATTGCTGAAAACTTCCCAAGTCTTGGGATATGGACATCCAGATTCATGAAGCTCAAAATTCCAAAACAGATTCAACCCAAAGAGGTCCTTACTAAAGCATATTATAATCAAAATGCAAAAAGTCAAAGACAGAGAGAATTTTAAAAGTAGCAGGAGAGAAGTGTCAAGTGACATATAAGGGAATCTCCAATAGACTATCAGTGGATTTCTCAGCTAACCTTGCAGACCAGAAGAGAATGAGATGATATATTCAAAGTCCTGAAAGAAAACAATACTGCCAGTCAACAATATTATTCCCAGAAAAGCTGGCTGTTCATCAGAAATGAGGAGATCATTTTCTCCAGATGTTTTCCAGACAAGCAAAAGCTAAGAAAATTCATCACTACTAATGCTTGGAGTTCCTCAACCAGAGGCAAAAGGATGATAATTAGTATCATGAAAACATATGAAAGCATTAAGTGCATTGGTAGAGGTAAATATATAGTCGAATTCAGCATGTGCCATTACTGTAATGGTGGTACATAAATCTTTCAAATCTCTTGTGTAAAAGTAAAAAGTCAAAATGGTAAAAAAATAAATAAATAAATAGCATATAGCTACAATAAATTGTTAAGGAATATCGAATATAAAAAGATGGAAATTGTGTCGACAAAAAATATATTTGTATGTGACTGAAGATTAATTGTTATCAGTCTAAAACAGTCTATTATAACTATAAGATGTTTTACGTAAGTCTCATGGTAACCACAGAGCAAAAAGCTAAAAGAAATACAAATGAGGAAGAGAAAGGAATCAAAGCTTAGCACTACAGAAAAACACCAAACAACAAAGGTACACAACAAGAGAGTAAGAAAAGAACAATGGGTCTACCAAACACTAGAAAACAGTTAACAAAATGGCAGGAGTAAATCTTTATCTGTCAGTAATAGCCTTGAATTTAAATAGATTAATAAACTCTCAAATAAAAAGACACAGAGAGACTGAATGGATTAAAAAAACAAGATCCAACTATATGCTGCCTACAAGAAACCCATCTTAGCTTCAAAGATACAGGCTGAAAGTGAAGGGATGAAGAATATATTCTATGCAAATAGTAATCAAAAGAGAGCAAGGAGTAGGTTGGCTATACTTATATCAGATAAGTAGATTCCAAGTCAAAAAACTGTCACAGGAGTTAAAGAAAGTCACTATTTAATAATAAAGGGGTAAATTCATCAAGAGAACATAAAAAATTTAAATATATAGGCACCCAACACTGGGGCACCAAACGATATAAAGCTTGAATAATGCACATGAAAAGAGAGATAGACAGTAATACAATAATAGTAGGGGATTTTAATACCTCATTTTCAATAATGGATAGATTAACCACTTAGAAAATTAACAAGAAAATTCTGAACTTGAACTTCACTTTAGGCCAAATGAACCTAACAGACATACAGAACTTACCATTCAGTAGCAGAAGAATATATATTTTTCTCTAGTCATAAGAAATATTCACCAAGATAGACGATATGTTAGGTTATAAAACTAGTCAATTTATTTTAACTAGTCTACATTCAAGAAGATAAAAATTATACCATTTCTGACCATGGTATGAAACTAGAAATCAATAGCAGGATATATCTTTAAAAATTCATAAATTTATGGAAACGAAATCATATGCCTCTAAACAAGCAGGTCAAAGAAGAAAATCAAAAGAGAAATTTAAAATATATATCTTGAGATAAATAACAATGGAAACACAACATACCAAAATTTATGAGATGGGGCAAATGAAGTTCTAAGAGGGGAAGCTTATAATAAGTACCTATCTTAAAAAAGAAAATCCTAAATAAACAGCCTAAAGGAGCTAGAAAAAGAACAAAGTAAATGCAAAGTTATCAGAAGGAAAGCAAGAATAAAGATCAGAACAGAAATAGATAAAGAACAAAAAAGAACAGAAAATGATCATTAAAACCAAAGGCTAGTTATTTGAAAAAATTGACAAACCTCTAGCTAGACTAAGAAAAAAAAGAAAAGAAAGAAAACTTATACATATAAAACCACAAATTAAAGTGAAGAAATTACAACAGATGCCTCTAAAATTAAAAGGATCATAAGGGACTACTATGAACAGTTATGTATCAAAAAATTAGATAACCTAGAGGAACTGGATAAACTCCTAGAAAACTATAACCTGACATGATTGAATCAGGAAGAAATAGAAAGCTTGAACAGACCAATAACATAAAGAGATTGAAACAGTAACTAAAAACCTTCTAACAAAAGATAGGCCTAGAACCAGATGACTTCACAACTGAATTCTACCAAATACTCAAAGAAAATTTATTACTAATACTTTATAAACTCTTCCAAAAAATAGAGCTAGAGGGACTACTCCCAAGCATATTTTATGAGGCTAGTATCACCTTGATGTCTAGGCTAGACAATGACACCACAAGAAAAGAAAACTATAGGCCAGTATCAGATGACTATTGATGCAAAAATCCTCAACAAAATATAAGTAAACTGAATTCAACAATACATCAAAAAGATTATACATAATGATCAAATGGGATTTATTCCTGGCAGGCAAGGCTGGTTTAATATACACAAATCAATCATTGTGATATATCACAGTAACAGAATGAAAGATAAAAAACACATGGTCCTCTAAATTGTCACAGAAAAAGCAGTTGACAGAGTTCAACATCCTTTCTTGATGAAAGCTCTTAACATTTAGGTATAGAAGGAAAAGAACCCCAACATATTAAAAGCCATTTATGAAAAACCCATGGTTAATATCATAATCAATGGGGAAAAAAAATGAAGCTTTTCCACTAAGATCCAGTAGTAGGCAGGGATGCCTACCTACTCTCACCATTTATATTCAACATAGTACTGGAAGTTCTAGCAAGAGCAATCAGACAAGAAGAAATAAAAGCCATCCAAATCAGAAAGAAGGAAGTAAGATTATCTCTATTTGCAGATGGCATGATCCTATAAGTAGAAAACCTCAAAGATTCCACACAAATATGTTAAAACTAATTAATTCAGTCAAGTTACAAGATACATAGGCCAACAAAACACAATACAGAGTCCAAAAATAAGTCCAAACATAGACCATCAACTAATTTTTGACAAAGGCATCAAGAAGACACAATGAGGAATGGATAGTTTTTTCAATAAATGGTGCTGGAAAAATTGGATTTCCATGTGCAATAGAATGGAATTGGACCCTTATAGTATATATGAAAATCAACTCAAAAATGGATAAGACACCTAAATGTAAAATCAACATACAAAAACCCGTAGCATTTCTATACAAAGATAAGGATTTAGCAAACAAGAAATAAAGAAAGCAGTTGATAGGATCAAAAAATTAGAATATTTAGAGTAAATTTAACCAAGGAAGTAAAAGATTTGTACACTGAAAACTATAAATCATTGATGAAAGAAATTTAAAACAAAAACAAATGGAAAGATATCCTGGTTTCATGGATTGGAAGAATATCGTTAAAATGTCCATACTACCCAAAGCAATATACAGATTCAACACAGACCCTATCAAAATTCCAATGGCATTCTTCACAGAAATAGAAAAAAATTCTAAAATGAATATGGAATCGCAATAAACCCTGAATAGCCATAGCAATATTGAGAAAGAAAATACTGGATGCACCACACTTCCTATTTTAAAATTATACTACAAAACTATAGTAATCAAAAGAATATGGTACTGGCATAAAAACAGAAACACCGGCCAACAGAGCACAACAGAGCACAGGCCAATAGAGCATGTGCCTGTAGTTCTGGCTACTTGAAAGGCTGAGGCTGAAGGATCGCCTGAGCCCAGCAGGTCGACGCTAGGGAAGCCGTGAATATGTCACTGCACTCTAGCCTGGGCGATGGATTGAGACTCCAACTCAAAAAAAAAAAAGAAAAGAAAAGAAGAGAAATAAAAGAATATAAAATTATATTAAAAATTACTTTTATCCTTATTTTACAGATGAGGAAACTGAGGCTTTCCCAAGGTTAAACCACAAACCTAGATTTCTCATCTCATCTGGATTATCTAGATATCCCTTAAAAGTCCTTCTACTGACTGGGCTCGGTGGCTCAGCCTGTAATCCCAGCACTTTGGGAGGCCGAGGTGAGTGG